TAGAAATTGGTAAACATAATATGTGTAATGTTTGAATCAAAAACAGTCCTTTCAGGATGTCTGATGTATCAAAAATCTTGAAGGTCTAATATCTGTTGAATGGTTAGTAACAGACCAATGGTTCCGATTTAAGGAATGTATCAGTTGAGTACTATAATATCTGTAGCTTCGGACTGTAACACTGCTAGTCAAATGGTACCTTTTAGTAAAAACGCTCTAATTTAATTTTTTTTATACAGATCTCTTACAGGGAAAAAATGACAATTAGAAAAATGCTGTACGTTATCAAATTATTTGCGGTCAGACGGAAATGTCATTTTCAAACAGTAAAATTGTCCGAGATTTCGAATACGAATTTGTAATCAGTTCTCTTCACATCAGAAAATTATTAATTTAGAAGAATTTGTTTCAAATTATCATTCCGAAAATCTCTAAATTTTCTCGATCAGGTTTAAGTGATTTGTTAGGTAAAAACAGTGCTAATGAATGAGATTGGCTTCTATTTACTGGACTCTATAGTTATAAAGTAGTGGTAATTATTAATAAGATGTAGCTACAGGCCAGAACAAGTCAGATCAGCACGCCTTCAGCTATACTGATTGTTTTTACGAAGAAATTGACAAAAGAACAAAATTTAGTTATTAGTCTGTTCGCTGTCTGAAAAGAATCACAACATTCAGAAAGATTTCTACGCATGTCCTTTTTCTATTTCTCTTTGCTCCTGCTAATGCGTGCTACCCATCTTTCCGCTTCGCCCATCGCCCATTCTCTAAAATTAAATGATATAAAATTGTGGGATGCGTATCGGAACAATAATGATCTATGAATAAGAATATGTATCGAGAATTAGGCTACAGAAATAAATTATGCCTTGTTTTTTTCGGCCACATCGGTTCGTGAAGTCATTTTATGTACTTCATCTTCTACTCATCAATCTATCTTCAATCTATCATCATCAAATATCTTCTAATCATAACCATATTTACAGAATTTCTTAGACACATATACACACACACATCACGCAGAGATATATATTTTTTTCCTCAGATAAGATAATCAGGATTTCTTTTACCAATATACTCAAACTTCATACACACACACATCAGTATCAATGACAATTGCATGTGCAATATCTTCTGCCTTTTATTGCATGTTTTAATGTCCACCAAAAATGTTCTCAAGTTAGATCTTATCCGTTCTCTTTTCTGTGGCTTTTTCTTTCCTTTAGAAACATAGATGTGAGAACTTTGAATCGTTTCTAAAATATACCCTTACATTAAATCCCAACTTGCATTAAATCCTAACGTGGGAGTTATACAAAGAGTAACACTTTATAAAGCCCACAAATTTTGAGCACATAAGATCGCTGAATTTTAATAATTTATTCCATATCTGACTGGCTGCATTCAGCAAACTAGCTACATCCGAGTTTTTAGAATCTGGTCATGTTTACAATTTGAAATTCTTTGCCGGTGTCATCCATTCTAGATAACGCTCGAATTATGTATCCTAATAAACATGTTACTAAACTTGTTTATTAAGACTTTAAATGAGGAAACATTATTTAATTGAAGAAATTTCAAACGTAGTTGTCATACTTTAATAAAAGAAAGTATGGATTTTTTTTTTTCATTTCATTAAGGTTGGAATATATCAAATAAAGACCACTCTTTTATATTATATCTAACACGCAAAAACATATGTTTAATCTTTTATGTAGATTAATGTGTTTGTGGGTACTTAATTAAAGGTAAAGCATTTACTCAATTTTCCACTGAAAAATTTAATAGTAGCTATTAACTGATAAAAATATGCATTAAAGTTTTAATACCTGTTTCACAAGACGTCATTAAAATTGCACTGACAAATTATTTATTTCGTTCTTAGATTATTAAAAATGTTTTTGATTATGGAAGAGGGTATAACTGTTGTTAAAATTATAAAAATAACATTTACTGTGTAACTGGAATAAATTCGTCAGAAATAAAACAAATTACTCTCTTCTTTTACTATTTCTCTACGATTCGGTGCTTCAGATACGTAATTTCACTTAATGACTTTATTTTTTCTATTCGAATTATTCGTTGTTCAATAATGCTTATAATATAAATGAATAAACATGAAAATATTTTTCCATTTAATTCAAAGAATTGTCAAATGGTGTTGTAAGTAGTTTATTTTCTGTAATCCACAACAAAACAAATTTGTATCTTTTAAAAAACAGCTAGTATTCTCAGCACTGATGAAGCCCACTAGCTCATTTCCAAACTGTTTTATTAAGCTGTAGAGTAGTATTTAAAAACAGTATATCTTTTAAATTTTCGGTAGACAGACGCACACGCTGGAGATAAAATATTTTATTCCGTACAGTGTGATGCCGCTGTTCGGTTTAAAATTGTTGAATCTCTTAATAAAAAATTCGTCAAAGTTTTAAAGATGTGAAACATATGATGAAAAATTTCTAAATTCAATATTCGGGCTTCCAGATGCCCATATTCGGGTTATTCAGATGTTAAAATATGCTTTAGCGCATTATTTTTTTAATACTGAAATCAAATAGTACAATCTTATATTTTAAAATGATATAGATGTGAAATTAGGTACGAATTTCTGATAGTATATTATATACGACAGTTAAAATAATAGATTATTGATTTTTGAGATAGTTTGTGTCCGATAGATTTATTTTACGTATTCATTAATGGCTTACTTTGTCTTAAAATTCAACATATAAATGTCTTTCGATGATGTTTAAATAAATATATATAAATAATATGCACTTTTCTTATGCACAGTAATATAAAGTTTTAAGAAAGTGTTATGTGTAATCTATATTTAAATAAAATCATATATAATGCATATAAAATGTTATTCATGTTGATTATATTAACTTAAATATACCCAAAATGGCATTAGCCCAGAAAGGCAATTAGTCTCGAAAGGGAATTTTGCTTCGAATTTCTATATAAATGACGGTATCACTTTTTAAATTGATTCCATCAAATAGTATCGTCCTTTATTAAAGAAATTAAATAATGAAGAATCTGCATGAACGCATGTCTGTTTCGCGCAATGTGAAAAAACAACGATACCTAGAGTGGATACCATCAAATTTGAAATAACGCAGTCCTCCAACCGAATTTTAACATCCGGGGGCCGAAAATTCTTTGGTTTAATCGGAACTTACTCTAGTTAAAATATGAAACTCTGTGATTAGTTCGTCACATAATTTAAGTCATGAAATTACTTCAAGTAAGTGACTTATTTCATAAGTCGTCCAATTTGAGTACGGGAAGAAAACAACTGCATTATATAAAGAAATTTTTGAACTTCCGATTCTTTTAATTTTTTATGGCCCCGCGTATAAGTCGACCCCCCACTTTGAAGTCGTTTTTTTGTCCAAAATATCTCGACTTATACGCAGGTATATACGGTATTTGATTTCAGTATTAGAAAAATAATGCGCTAAAGCATATTTTAAGTTACATTTCCTTATCTACTTTAATTAAGTATATTTAAGTATTCTTTCTTTCCAAATGTTTCTTGAAATAGTTATATTTCTTCTTTAACTATTATAATTAATGTGAAATTTCTGAATAGAAATGAAATATTTTTTCACAATTAAATTTCTGGAAATTTAAATTTGGTAACTCTTGTTTAGATTCTACAATTGTGCTTGATAAGTAAAGCGATAAAAATTTATTACTCATGAGATAAGTTGTTAGTTTAAAAACAATCTGTGTTCGGAATCTGTTTCTTGATAAATAAATAATAAGTTATGGTAAAGCTATTACCAGTAAATATGAAGCTTAAATTTCTAAGCTGCATACTTATTTGATTTGAAAGGAGTAGATGTGGCTTTCTCCTCTTTAATAGTCTGTTGAAAATCAACATTCTTTTAAATTCAGTACAAGACTTTTAACTTTTAGCATTATTTTCAATTAATCATAAATTTTTTAACTGCGAATATTCTTTACGAATAACAATGAAAAGCAGGTAGGGAATATGAATTTTGCTCTCTCGATAAAAACATACATATAAATATGCAAGGTGATTTCGTTAATCCAACAGGTTTTAAGGAATTTTCGTATACTTTAGTTCTTTTTCAGTGCTAGATAATCTTCTTGCGTTAAAAAAAATGGTTAGGTTAAGTTAATGGAATATAGCAAAGCGCACAAAGGTTATTTGCGCAAGGGAACGGCTGTTTTCGTAGCGGAATTTTTAAGAGAACCCGGCTGGTATTCACGTTTCTCTTAATATTCAGGAGTGTTAACCACTTGAGAACTGATAGATGCCATTGATAAAACGAATAATTTTAGTAATATATTTATATTTTGGAGTATAAATTATTTCACCATTATTATTAATAGCTAATTTATGTCTATATGTACACCTATAATTCATTATTCCTAAAAGAATTTGCAATTGAATTATACTATGTTAAATGTGCATTTGTAACATATATGATTTTGTGTTATTTGCTATTTAATTGTTATACATTCGGTGAAGAATAACTAAAGGGAATAAAGAATGATAATAGAAAATAAGGAATTATAAACGGAAATAACAATTTACAACTGAATAACATAATAAAACACTCTTAAAAGGTTTTCATCCTTTCTATTTATCGCTTATAAATATTACTTCAGTCGATTAATCATTATAGAAATCCCAAATTCGAGAAAAACAGTTCATGATATTTTTGTATAAAGAGGATATTTTTGACAACATTAATTGAATATAGACAAGACCGCATCTGTAACACACCTCTAACGACTCCCTTTTTCTTGCTGATGCGATCCATAAATTTTGCGTATTTTATCAGTTCAAAACACATATCCGGTTATACTATTCCACCTCTCTCCTTCACAAGCAGGTCGTTTATAGATCAGCTCTTACCGAAAGAGGCAGCTGGACGAAGCGAACGTTTTCGAAAAACAGTACGCATAATCCAGTTGTTACTTTTCTATTTTTGTTGATATTTTTATATTCTTTTGTAGGAGCCGCCGTCGGGAGGCGCTGCATACGTTTTGACTGAAGCCGTGGCGACCGATCGAAGGAGTAGTGGACTCCCCTGTTCCGAACATGCCACTCCTCAGATGAGAAAACGCCCAGCAGTGAGCCAGTGTTTCTCATCAGCTGCTCTTCTACAGCGGATCTAAAGCTTCCCAAATACCTGAGATCTACTTTGGATATTTCAGTACCTTGGGTACAGAGTAGAGACTAAAAATCTTACAGACTAACATTTTTTACCCCCTACTATTTTTTTTTTTATAATTAGTGTTCTAATCAGTGACGGCAACAGGTACCATAAGATTAGCTATGGCTGATGATGCTGTCGAAGATGTCACTTCTATACCATTCTTTGAAAGCAATTTTTCCGGTTGTGACTTCGGAAATTTCAGTGATTTCACAAATTTCAGTGATTTTAATTTCACTGACTGTAATTTCACTTATCCTCGAATGACTTCTTCATATAGACCACCTTATATAGTTGTAGAATTCGCGAAAATATTGTACGGTATCGTTTTTCTAGTCGGTTTGTGTGGAAATTCCCTGGTCATTTATGTTGTTTTACGTTTCTCTAAAATGCAGACTGTTACTAACATGTACATATTTAACTTAGCTCTGGCTGACGAGATGTTTCTGACGGGTTTACCATTTATTATAGCTACAATGACATTCGGTTATTGGCCATTCGGTAGATTTATGTGTAAGATGTACATGACGACTACTTCTATTAATCAGTTCACCAGCAGTCTGTTGTTAACTGTGATGAGTGCTGATAGGTACGTCGCCGTTTGTCATCCAATATCCTCACCAAGGTATCGGACACCATTCATCGCAAAATTTATTTGTTTAACTGCTTGGACTGTGTCAGCTTTACTTATGGTTCCAATTTATATCTACGCCAATATTTTGGAGAATGGAGCTACCATTTCTTGCAATATTTACTGGCCAGAGAGTGCTTTTATGAATGGGCAAAAGGCTTTTACTCTGTATTCTTTCACTTTAGGTTTTGCGATCCCCCTTGTTCTAATCTTGCTTTTTTACTTCCTTGTTATCTGCAAACTCCGCAGAGTAGGTCCCAAAAATAGGTCGAAAGAGAAAAAACGTTCTCACCGAAAAGTTACCTATCTAGTTCTGACCGTCATCACGGTATATGTGATCTGCTGGCTACCATATTGGATAACTCAAGTTTACATCACTCTCTTACCTCCAAGGCAGGGCCAAGGCCACTTAGGCCTGACCATCATTCTCCTAGCTGGGTGCTTGTCATATGCCAATTCTGCTATGAATCCCATTCTTTATGCTTTTCTGAGCGACAATTTTAAGAAGAGTTTTGCGAAGGCTTTCACTTGTGCTGCCCGAATGGAAGTCAACGCTCAATTGAACGTAGAGAACAGCGTTTTCCCGAAACATACCCGAAGTGGGTCTTCCAGAGCTCAGATGAATCGGGAACAAAAACCTCGGAATGAACTAGAGCCATCCACAAATATAACCCTTACTTCCAGATCTAATATTGTAGTGTCAAGCGATAAGGAACATTCCTTGCGGAATGGATTCAACAAGCAACAAGCAGAAGGAGAACCCACACAGGTGTGAAGATAATTCCGTGTTAGGCACGAAGGCGGGCTACTGCTATAAGAGCTTCATTTTCAAGCTTTCCACGATGTGTATCAGGGATATCTTGTTCAGATTATGGTAAAAAAAAAAAAAAACATTTTTATGGACAGATGCTGTGACTATTTACAAGAATCCATTTGTATATATGTTTGATATAAATTGTGACTTTTAAGTTACTGAAAAGAGAGAGAACTTGAAACTTTGTATCATAAACTTGGACCATAAACTTCTACATACTTTCAGATGAAAAATATTTATGAATATTTAGTCTTCTTTTTCGTATGCATTTTTATTTATGACTTCAGCACAGGTGCTAATTTTACAGAATTTTCTCCATTAATGTGAGTTCATTTTAAGACTTCTATGTCATAACCATCTTTAATAAAAGTAATCGTTTTTGTAAGCTCTACAAACTCTTGTTGCACAAGACTAAGCTCAATGAATTTAGTGACAGACGTTTTTAATTCATGTAATTAATCAAAAATGGTAAAATATGATGGATTATTTAGAATTATTTAATACAAGTAAGTGATTTTCTTCTTTAAATATTTGCTGTTAACGTTGCAAAGAGACTTCTGCATGTGTTTTATAAAATATTGCTGCCCAACATGTTTCATATGATATGTGTTTATTGAATATATTATCTCAGTGTTGCGTTTATATACATATATATCAAATACTGTTGGTATGAAAAATATGCCATGTTTTCGAATGAAATGCTCACATAGTTTGAATAATTCACTATTGTTGTTTACTGTGTAGTTGCATATATCACATTCAGAATTTCAAGTAGTATTCCAAACTTTATAAAACTTGAATTTCCATTGTATTGCTTCTAAATATATACAGTGATGTTGCATTGTAATGTATTATTAATAAACTGTATTTTAACTGTTTTCATTCCATAATTCAATTTTCTAATTTCTACTCTGATTGTGAACAAAAAATCAATGAAATCAATAAAATTATATCAATGAAACTGGAAGATAAGATACTGGTAAAAAAATGCAGAAATACTTATTGTATATATTTGTTATTTACAATATTTTAAAAGTATAAGTATCTTTAAAAAAACTTTAAAGTTTCCAGTATGTTATAAGACATATGCGCATTAATATTTCCTTGTTGTTGCCTTTAAAACTATTGAGGAATATTTTATTTTTTGTTTACTGATACTATGCTTTTAACTGTTAAAAATGTTTATCTTATGTTAACAGATTTTTTCGAATATCATTACTGACCCGGAAAAATTTAGATCAGTTTTTAATCTCGTAAATTACGCATCAGGCTTTTTGGCTAAAGAATACAGATTTCTTCTTTCCTTAATCTAATATTAGTTCTTTTAATTTTTTTTTTTTTTTTGTGACCAAATGAAGAATTTTTAAGGTATTTATTTTCATATTTGTTCGGAAACCGAAAGGCATAATACTTTTTGTTGTGCCACCCTTTAATATTAATTTACGTAATTAAATTTGGATTTTCAGATATATTTTACCACCGCAAATACGTTTTTGCTTATGAAATTAAGTATTTCAGTCAATTATGCATGCAATATTTCTACTGAACGCATAAGCTAAGTAAAAAGAGAAAACGAATTTCATTAATTAGAATCATTAAAAATCAATGATTCTAACAAGGCTAATAAATTTGCAGGTGTATTAATTAGTTTCAATCCTGATAACTAAAATACAGTCTGCATGCTTTGCTTTGTAAATCTGAGCAGATTACATTAAATTTCACTAAAAAGATATCCATGCCAAAGATTTTAATAAAGCAAATGTCAAACCAGAAGTTTCATAATAAATTCTCATTCTCTGATCTTCCACTAAGTCTGTATAATGTGCAAAATATGCATCTTGTAATGCAGGATATACAGCAAAGTCCCTTGACTTCTTGAAATTTATTGTAGGTTTATAGCTTATGACACAAAAAGAACTTTTCTTACAGGGAATTAAAATTTATTGCATGTGACCACGTACGGACCTTCTGTTAATCTGCCCACCTTATTCAAAGTCATGTAATATTTTAGTCTATGTGTTTCACACGCATATATTTTCGTCTATGTGTATGCATATATGTATTCAACTTCCTTGTCAAATGAGGGATTATTGTGCTTATTATATTATCTTTTTCTTAGAAATTAGAGATCTTCTGCTCTGAAAACAAGTATACGTTTCTCTGGATTGTTTTGCTGTGGATAGAAAAAGGTTCAAACGTTTAGCATTTCCTATTAACATAAATACAGCGGATAGAAAATGCTTCACACGCATATATTTTTGTATATATTCATGCATGTGTATTTAGTTTCCTAGGATCAGCATCATTTCGCGATTCGCATTTTCTTGTATGCTGTGTGAAGCATTCTGATAATTGTTAGATTAATTTAAACTATTTTAGCGTACTAGAACCTCAATTCAGTTATGCTCAAAATAAGTAAAATAATAGTCGCATACTAGGCGTCAAGTTTTTAATGTCTAATAACATATTTATTGCACAAGTCAACAACTTATTTAAAATTGTCTGTTTGTTTAAAATTAATTGGTCTTAAGTATCGTTTTTTTAAGTAATAAATTATTTCTGAAAACTCTCTTCATTAAATTATCTTAAGATTTACATGTTTTGTACTTATATTTTATTGAATTTAATGGAGTTAACAACATAGGTTCTCTTTTAATAAAAAGAATAGTTGTTTGTAGTAGGTATCAAATGAAGCTCTAGAAATATTTTGTTTCAGGCAAAAGGTGCATAGAACTAGGAAAAAGGTCAAAGACGTAAGTATTTTGTCATTGACAGATGGCCGCGTTTGACGTGGAAAGAAAAGATTCTCAACGAAAGTTAAAACTACTACTCCGGTGAGAGACAACAGATGATAAAAAACCCAGAGAGCTTTATGTTTTATAAAACCTACAGTATGTGAATTGTAAACTCTGCGTTTATATTTGTAGGCGGCAAAATATATTAGCACGATTCACTATACAGAATTGCTCACTTATTTTTATTCTGGTAAATTGTGAAAATAAATCACAATAATTCGATGTGGCCCACCAGCGGCCGAGCGGTAAACGCCGCCGAACACTGGTAGTTCTGGAAGCAGTCTACACTGGTAGTAGCTCGGGGTTCGAGTCACGGTGAATCCCTCCCTTTCCGATTAGTGCCTTAATCGCATTCTTTAAACTGGAGTGTTTTCCCTCTCTAAAATACAGATCTAGACAAAGTGGAAGATAAAAATACCAATGTAATAAAGATAAAAATAAGGAAGCTAAAATACCAATGTAATAAACATAAAAATAAGGGTGGAAGCTAAAATACCAATGTAAAATTTAAAATTCGGTAAAACAGCAGCATTAGTCTGGCATATGTTTTCAATAAAACCCTATCGATTTTGAAGATGATCAGAAACAGGGCTGTCTTCTTCAGGAAAAGATTTTTTTTTTCTCCTGACAAAAAGGGACCTGAGATCGAGAGAGTTCTGTTGGAAATCTACTCCAAACTATGGTTGTTGCTTTGCCTAATTTCAAATCGAGTAAAATTTCAATTGCTATCCGAACAAGCTGTCGTAACACTAACATATTTCGAGTAGAAGTGGTACAAAAACGACGTTGTTTATATAACTTCAAAAATGGAAAAAATGATATGGTGCAATTATAAGATATATTTGGTACTAACTGTGAACGTCCAAGCCTCCAGCAATAAAACGGTCAATAAGCGGGATGCAGATCGCCGTTTAGATAATTTTATAAAGAACTACCGTATCTTTCTCAGTAAATGTACCCTTCTTCTTTAATAATTACTTTATACTAAATGCGATAGAATGGTTCATCACCAAATTATTCTATGTATCTCAATTTCCTAGCAGCGAGATTCAAAATTAAACTCTCGACCATCACTTTACTGAATGACAGTAATGTTATGAAATTCTGCACAAAAAGGTAATCTAAAATTTTTATTTCCCTAACAGGAAAAATTTCTAGCCATGCTTCGTGTTATAGTTATAAACTAACTAATACTGTGCCACTAATTGCTATTGTAATCTAATTTACAAGTATTATTTAATTTGCTATGTTTTAACTCATTAAGATGAATATGTTTCCCTCATAGTGTACAGACATTAGGATATTTCGAAGCAGTAGCAGGAAACACGAGCAATGCCCTCACCGGGACACGAACCTCGGACCTTTCGAATACGCACCAAATGTGCTGACCATTACACCACGAAGGCATGGTAAGAAGGCGAAAGAAATACCTTATATACACCCCTTTTAAAGGGCTGCTGGGGATTAGGAACCCAATTGCCAAATCTTGTTGGTGAAGAATCATCATCCACCAGCTTTTTTAGTCTGGGCGCCACCGTGGAGACATTAGGTTATATCGAAGCAAGGAAATCGAAGAAATGAGCACTGCTTTCGATGAGACTCGAACCTCTGACTTCTTCAATACGCGCCGAGCGTGATGACCATTACAGCACGAAGGCATGCTGGAAGGCGAGAGAAATACATTATAACAGAAACGGGTTATTTTATTTACTTAACCTCCTTATTTCTAATCCATATTGAGACAACTTACTTTCATTACATAATAGAGACATTAGGTAATTTTGAAGCAAGGAGAGATGAAAAATGGTCAACGCCCTCGCCGGGACTCGAACCACGGGCCTCTCGAATACGCGCCGAGCGTGCTGACCACTACACTGCGAAGGCATGCTAAGAATGCGTGAGAAATAAGTTATAACATTTTAACCTCTGTTAAATTTTTTCAATGTCAATTTTATAATTTGATATAAAAAAGCGAAGCACTTTCTTTGGTACTTTTTCATAATGCATACTATTATTATATAAACAGAGTCATTTTGCATGTCGTGCTTTGTTTCCCTGGAATACATAAGGCTAAATATTTAACTCAACATTATTAGTAGATACATTTTGTTTATAACGTTCTATCCAGTATATTTTTTTCATTTCTTTTATTTGTGGGCAAAAAGCTATATTTCAATAAAATTTTAATTGGTGAAACAATAACATACATTAGTACTTGCATAAATCAATATTAAATTTTGATCGGGGATGTATTTTTATTTGAATTGTTCCCGGCAGAAGAAATATTTTCTTGAATTTTAAAATATGTATGGCTATTTGAAATTTTTATATTATTTATTAGCTATTTATTAAATCTGCTGGTTAAGTATTTTTCAAGCTATGCTTCTCTAACGGTATTTCTGCTGTCTCCGAGTTATCGCCGTGGTTACAATAAGCATGCGGGCCAAAGTGATAAATTAAAAGTTCACTCCTGCTTGGTTACAATTAAAGCTAAATTGTACAGCTAAAAAAAGTCGATTTTGTCTCCACAATAATGTTAGCATATAAGCGTCCTGTCTTATACTATTATCAAAACATTTCTCTCAAACAAAACACTTTGTTGTGTTCTTAAATAGTCGTGATAAAGTCCCTTATCGTCATTGAAAATCAAATGGCCTATGAGTTGCTGCGGCCTTTGACAGAAACAAGCAGCATGGTAAGCTGTCTTCCACTACAATAGAAGAAACTATTAACTTAGCGATCGGTTCGAGAAACGTGAAAAATCTAGCTATGCTTCGCCAGGATTTGAAACACAAGCTTACTTATATATTAGCTAAACGTACTATCTGTTATACCACAAGGTCACACAGTGAGGAAGTCGATAATAAATTGCAAGTTCATCATTGTACCTAAAGCTTTGGTTCCAAAATATTCCCCCATTATCAATAAACAAATTTTTATTTTTCATTATTAATTTAGAACTTTATACTGTATCGAAAAGTTGCTTAAAATAGTGCAAATTATATGACTTTTTTTAATCATCATTATTGAATTTTAGCAAAAATCAGTATTCCTAATTTCAGTTTAAGCAGTACAGCAAACTACTTGACGAGTTT